GTAAGGCTTCACTGGTCTTGCTCTTATTTTTTTTTATTTTATTTTTTTCTATTTTATTTTTTTGCATTATCTTCGAGGCATGGTGGTTCTGTCGTAGCACTATTAGAGATAACTTCAGAAGTATTCTATGAACATTGCCTAGTGCCTTGTAATGAACTGTGTCAAACTTATTGTGCGCGGCAACGAGTTTTCCGAGAAGACTGAGCGCGTATGAAAACAGCTGTCTTACGATCTTTGATCTGCTATAGTAAGTTACTATTGCTCCGGGTTGAATACCTAGAAGATTCACCTTCTACCTCTTTTAAGCAACCCTGTGCGTGAATGTGTGGACTAAAGTAGAATATCCGAGGAAGTATTCCCTTAACTCTTTGACTGCCACTGGGATACCTGTGTACTTTGTAACTTGACAATACGGAATATGAGCGGACGCTCTAAAGCCGAATCACGTACGATAGAAGCTCCATAGTTCTATCTTCAATAGCAATTCGCCTCATCTCGGAGGCAGAGCTCATGATGAAAAGGTTACCCATTAAATAAGGTAGGAGGTGGTCAGTAGTGCAGGGTTGAAGAAAAACAAGAAACGGCCCAGAACCCGAGAAATGAGCCTCTTACTTGCCCGTTGTTTTCGCATTGATGCGCCTACATCGCTGTTGCCCTCTTCGAGGCGCGCTCTTTCTGCCAAACGGGGACTCAACAGGATGCAGATCGCACGGCGAAAATTCAGAAACGCAGGCGGGATAGTGGACAAATCGCAGTGCATGCTGTAGTGACTTCACGTCAATACATAGAATAGGATGTACTACGTACGTCTCAAATTCTATAGAACGTGCTATTACTCGTCCGCTGACCCGTGTGCCTCTCTGCCTTCTCACCCCGCGACCGGCATCCTTTTGGGTACCTCTGCTCAACGGATAGGGTCAGATGGCGAGGGGTTACCTCGGCGGGCGTGCAGAGGCGCAAGCGGCGCGGGTACGGCACTGCTAGTCCGCTACGGATTTTGCTGCGAAACGCGCACCATGAAGGGCCCACCTGCCCTTCGACTTGGTACATTCTCTCTTCTTCAACCCCATATCTTATAGCGGAACCTCCTCAATTCATATATCTTACTGAACAAATTCCTAGCACAGTTCACTGATCAGAGCGTATGACCACCAAAAAAAGTAATTTCTACGGTTGTGCTTCTCGTGAAAGTATCGACAATTAAAGCGTTAACTCTCGTTGGTAGTTTCATGTTTCGTTCGTCGAAAAAAGCGAGCAGTTGTTCGGGTCGAAACCGGGAAGATTCCTTGGGCGCATCCGCAGAAAGCTTTGGTGTCGGCCTTTTCCTGATCAACTGAAATCTGGTGGGCTTCCACATCGAAAGCTGTGTCGCTGTGAGCATTTCCTGGCTAAATTCCCACACTATCTCATCTCTCAGAAGTTCGTTTCCTCATGTTGCGTCTCATGTATTGAGTAAATCACAGATTTTGAAAAAGTCTTGCTAACAGCAGCGCTTTTACACACAGCTTGAGACATTGTAGAAGATCCTTGAGGCAAGGTTAACTCATAACGGACTTGAGGACCATGTGGGACAGTGTGCAGCGCATGCGCTGCACACACAAATTATTAATTTTTTTCGCGCATGCGCTACTTCTTTTCTAATTTTTTGCATCTATTCTATAGACTACACCATAATATGACTAGACACGGCGAGGTTCATCGAATGGTTGAATATGCTCCTTTTTAGCGAAGGTTTTCCAAAGCCCTACGAATTTCCCAATTGTGTTCATTCCTAGTTTTCTTTATATTCTGACAACCTTGGTCATAAAAATTAGTAGTAGAAGTAAGCACAGACCTACACGTATAGCAAGATATATGTTTTTAGTGGAGTGACCGTGTGAAAAAGTAATTTTGAGGTTTTACTATAGCAAAAGCAACTGAAACTCGCCTTTTTGTTGCCAGGAAACGTCAATTTGATCGAACTTTTACAGTTGTTCCTTCTGTTAAGTTTGACACATCGAATATCATTCGAAACATTCTGTTCCATCCGAGTTTTGCGTAGTTAAAGCTCAAAATTCACGGAGTTTATGTGAGACGGCGGCGCCTGTAAAATCGCCGTGGTCCCACGCGGCGCAAAAACCCAAAACGCGCGTTGTCGTCAACTTGTTAATATACCCGTATATACTCTCAGCAATGTGGAATAACATATCTTCCCAGGACCTGGACGAGTGGATTTTTGACAAACCTACAATAAATTTTACATACACTTTGTCTTAATTTTCATAAGCTTACTATTTGATGGATGGCTTACAGATGGTTCACTCGTCCCGAGACCCCTTCCCCTAATATAGCCACATCCTTGCTCGGGTTGTTCCGCATTTTTCCATGATTTCACCTACAGCTTCCATTCATTCTTTGCACCCTAGTTTTAGAGCGGAAAGGCGGGTTACGAACTTGTCGTCAACGGAAATCTCTTCTTTTGGATGATGAGACAAGGACACCTACTTTAGCCCCGTCTTAACCCTGCTGTTCGCATAAGCCTACATAAACCCTACCCTGGGTGGCGGCGTGCGCCACATGTGGCGCACGCAACAAATACACTGGCCGTCCGTTATGGGTTAATGATTCGTATTTCGGATTAAAAGCTGATCCCACGGTCACCTGATAGTGAATGGTACATCCATGTTCAGCCACGAGCTGTATTGGTCCGCGGCAAATGCTTTTTTTCATACTGAGGTCAAAAGGATGATTAGCAGGTGCTGGTTTGTAAGTATCCCCACAAACCCGTCCCGTTTGCAACGCACGCCTTGTATTTCATACCACAGTAGCGTATGCGTCTCTCTGACCTCAATTTTTTCCTTCCTCATCAGGATCTGCATTTCTCTTCGTCCCGTAAGAGATCAGTTGCTAATAAAGAAGACACATTACAACAGCATTTTCTGCAAATTGTTTGCTTCTTTGTTTTCAGATAATGTAGCAGCCCCAGTCAGCTTCAACCCAACTAGCATATCTTTATACCGCGGATGTGTCTTTGAGACTGCTAATTCCTTAGTACCATCACCTATGTATTTCACTTTATAGTACTTTGATACATTTATATTTTACTTGCTGATCGAAAGTTTCTTCCTTCGCGCTGAACAATGTTGAAAGCCTTGATGATTAGCCTTCAACTCTACCTTCTCTGAAGTGGATAGCCTCCCCCCCCCACCCAAACTAGTGCAGGAGCTTCATCTAACGATTAGGCCGCTTAACAGTTTTAGTGGCAATCCAGTAAAAGTGGAAGAAAGAGAAAATCGCGCTGAAACATTACAAGACATAATCAACGTGATAGTTGCCACAATGGAATTATCTTTTGTTCACGAAAATGTTTAAGCAAAAGGGTGTGTACATACTTAATTATAGGAACATGTGAAATCTACAACGGAACCGTCGAACACCGCGCAGGAGAAGTTAGTTCATGGTCAGCCTGTCGTGGAGGAAGTGACCAGCGACATATCTCATGATGTCTATCCAGAGTTATCAGAGGTCCTGGTTTCTCAACTGGTCGGTGATGGCCAGAAAATGTCAGAAGAGGATACTGCTCCTGCTCAAAGTGATTTCACACCCAGTACCCTGAATTCCACTGAACAATTGCTCAGTCAGCTTCAATATGAAGTGGAAGAGCTGGAGAAAGCTCCTACCAATAACGTTGCCGTCTTCATCTGATTTAATTGATTTCCAACAAGCTAGAACACCAAAGCTACTCTCCAAACTCGATGCAATATCTGATGTTCCAGTCGATTTGCTACCAAAGAAAGAAGATCTTTCAAATCGAATCGACATGATTAACAAGAAATTAGACGATCAAGTGCATGAAATGGAGGATTTCGAACAGAAAACTGTTGACTTGCAAAACGTTGTTGATGAATGCCGTGGTAAACTGAGAATTCGTGATACACCTGCTCCTATCGATGATGTGACTAAGGATGAGCAAGATCTGTCAGCAATTCTTGTCGCTGTCGATTCAATTCCACAAGAAGATCTTTCACCGAGGAATCAATTGGCTCGAGATGTGAACAATATTAAAGAACAAGTGAAGGTGATTTTCGTTAACATCTGTGTCCTTTCTTTGTAGTGTTTTTCTTTTATGGGAAATTTTCTTTTACGATCAGGGAATCTAGGGTGGAATACTTTCAGGGTCAATTGGCAACCTTGCGGAAAGCTCTACCGGATGAAATGAAAGCACGTCAACAACAAGATGAACTCAAGGATCGCCTATCAAGTATTGCTGATGCTTTGACAAGAGTCGATCCTGAGAATTTGGAATCAGCTAAGCAACAAATGGCATCAATTGATACTGAACTACAGAAACTGAGTGGTGTCGCGGATGCGTATCAGCAATTCGCTACCAGCCCATCATCAGTTGTCAGTCACGATGATCTCGATAAGACTCTACCGGAACAAGTGCAGAAGTTGAAGAAGGAATGTGATGAGAAGAAGAAGGATATCGAACAGATTGCGCAGTTGAAGTCAGTTGCGCCTGAGATTCTTCTCATTTCCGAAAGTCTACAGCAACAACCTGAAGAGATACCACACAATCTCAACGATCAGCAATCAGTGCTTGAGGAACTCGAGACAAAGAAGCAACGTCTTGAAAATCTCATACAAACGATCCCTGTTGGCGAAGCGACGGAAGAGCTGCGACAGAGGAGCGCATGGGATCTGTCGAGACTGAAAGATCTACTGAAAAGGCTTGGTGATTCAGTTGGAGATAAGCTTGCTGCGTTAGCTGCATTCAATGTTGCACGCAAAGATGCTGAAGATCAACTGTTGATGATCACTAGCCCAGAAAGTGACGATAGAACACCTGATGATTTGAAAAAGGACGAAGAATCGCTTCAAAGACTTCAGCAGAGTATTTCTCAACTTGACAGTAGCGATCTGGATGATGAACAACGTGATGAACATGCCCAACTGTTGGATCGCATCAATAGGACGCTAGCTATCCTAAAGGTACATTTAGTTGGACTGATTTAATTTGCATGTGGAGGATTTTAGGGATTTGTTTAACTAATTCTTGATTTACTTTCGGTGAAATTGGTGCAATACTTTTTTTTTCTCTGGTATCATTATTAGTGTGTGTTGTGCGTATGTGTACATGTGTAAAAAAGTAGAACAATTATTTTTCTGTCTTAATTCTTATAAAATCGATATATGCACATATTTTTGTGTAAAAAAAATAAGATGATTACTAAAATGAAAGAATGGATATATCGGTAGAAAACCTTAGGAGTGCTTAGATTGACAACAATTTAGCGAACACTACTGTGTAGACATGTCATAGATTTAGAATTTTTGGCGAAAATTTCTCAATGAGTGTGCGTGTGTGTGTGTGGGAGATGAGCGAACGTTTAATTAATTTCGCTCAAAATCTGAAAATTTGTCTAAAGGGTTGGACTGATAGGACCTGATTGTATACGATGTGGATATGTGGTGATTTCAGCAACGTCGAAGCGATATAGAAGCAGAGATTGCCCAGCGTACGGCCGATGAAGCGCTAAGAGATGCAATCGCTCCGGTGACGAATCGTCTTGCTCAACTTGTCAATGATGCTGATCGCTTGTTAGGAGATGCCGAAGGAGTACCAGCACAATATAGACCAAGTGCTGAAGAGCTGAGCAATGAATGCAAGAAAGCTGTTGAACTTCTACGGAACGCTCCTAAGACTCATCCATCCGTGGAAACTCTTGAAACTGCGCTTTCATCCGCTGAGAACATGATTCCAGTTCTAGAGGAACGTGCGAATAATTGGGATGAATTTGTGAAGGTGAGGGATGAAGCCGATGTTGAATTGGACAAATTGAGGCAACCACTTGATGAAGTGTTGGCGAAACCACGTAGAACAATCAACGATGCCAAACTTGACTTTGATGTAATATCTGCCGAACGTCAAAAATCTCATATACTCGATGGTAAAGTTCGTCGACTTCAAGAACTCTCGGAACTGCTTGATCCTTTGGACAGCGCCTACGCTGACGTTCGTTTCATCGACGTTGACGCGGAACAGACAGTGCAACAATACGATGATGTGCTGAATGAGTTGTCGAGTGAAATCGAAGACGAAAGCCTGCTATGCGATTCAGTCGATCATTTTATCACTGAAATGAACGCTATTTGTGAATCGCTTGCTAAGCAACCAACAAAGGAGACTATTGAGAACATAGAACAGTTCCAAATTCCAGCATTACGAGCAACTTTCGATGCTACAACAGAAACATGATGAAGCCAATCACGGTCGTAAGCATGTTGATCCAGACTCGTCGCGCTTGTCGATTTTGAACGATCGTATGGGTTCGTTGGATGCGTTACTCCGCGATGCGAAAGCATCGACAGAGAAGGACGAACAGGATCGCCTCAACGAACGACTTCGAATCGGAATATTCGAATTACAATCGATACCTCTTCGTGATTTATCTGAAAAGTCGTTGGATGACATCGAGAAAGAAATCCATGTTCTGCCAAGTGAAAACGCAGAACCACTTCAGAAGCAGATCGACGACATGCGTAAGTCGAAGAAACAACATGACGATGACCTACGACAAGCACAAGAACGTTTGGGCTATGATCGAAGATGCGATCGCAACGCTTCCATCTACACGTGATATTGAGACACTTGAAGCGAATTTGGGACGTATGCGAGACGCTCGAGATAGTTTAGCGAATGTATCACCAGATCTGTTAGCTGAAGAGAATATTGGGAACAGAGTGGAGGATCTGAGAAAAACCATTGACGATTTATCGAAACGTGATGAAGAAGAGCTACAGAAGATGCTAATTGATCGTGATACTCGCAACAACGCCATCGAGTCATTGGAGCAAATTCAGCGTGAAGTGGAAGAGCTGGAGAAAGCCCTACCAATAACGTTGCCGTCTTCATCTGATTTAATTGATTTCCAACAAGCTAGAACACCAAAGCTACTCTCCAAACTCGATGCAATATCTGATGTTCCAGTCGATTTGCTACCAAAGAAAGAAGATCTTTCAAATCGAATCGACATGATTAACAAGAAATTAGACGATCAAGTGCATGAAATGGAGGATTTCGAACAGAAAACTGTTGACTTGCAAAACGTTGTTGATGAATGCCGTGGTAAACTGAGAATTCGTGATACACCTGCTCCTATCGATGATGTGACTAAGGATGAGCAAGATCTGTCAGCAATTCTTGTCGCTGTCGATTCAATTCCACAAGAAGATCTTTCACCGAGGAATCAATTGGCTCGAGATGTGAACAATATTAAAGAACAAGTGAAGGTGATTTTCGTTCGTTAACATCTGTGTCCTTTCTTTGTAGTGTTTTTCTTTTATGGGAAATTTTCTTTTACGATCAGGGAATCTAGGGTGGAATACTTTCAGGGTCAATTGGCAACCTTGCGGAAAGCTCTACCGGATGAAATGAAAGCACGTCAAAACAACAAGATGAACTCAAGGATCGCCTATCAAGGTAATTGCGCATGCTCGCTTGACAAGAGTCGATCCTGAGAATTTGGAATCAGCTAAGCAACAAATGGCATCAATTGATACTGAACTACAGAAACTGAGTGGTGTCGCGGATGCGTATCAGCAATTCGCTACCAGCCCATCATCAGTTGTCAGTCACGATGATCTCGATAAGACTCTACCGGAACAAGTGCAGAAGTTGAAGAAGGAATGTGATGAGAAGAAGAAGGATATCGAACAGATTGCGCAGTTGAAGTCAGTTGCGCCTGAGATTCTTCTCATTTCCGAAAGTCTACAGCAACAACCTGAAGAGATACCACACAATCTCAACGATCAGCAATCAGTGCTTGAGGAACTCGAGACAAAGAAGCAACGTCTTGAAAATCTCATACAAACGATCCCTGTTGGCGAAGCGACGGAAGAGCTGCGACAGAGGAGCGCATGGGATCTGTCGAGACTGAAAGATCTACTGAAAAGGCTTGGTGATTCAGTTGGAGATAAGCTTGCTGCGTTAGCTGCATTCAATGTTGCACGCAAAGATGCTGAAGATCAACTGTTGATGATCACTAGCCCAGAAAGTGACGATAGAACACCTGATGATTTGAAAAAGGACGAAGAATCGCTTCAAAGACTTCAGCAGAGTATTTCTCAACTTGACAGTAGCGATCTGGATGATGAACAACGTGATGAACATGCCCAACTGTTGGATCGCATCAATAGGACGCTAGCTATCCTAAAGGTACATTATTGGACTGATAATTCATGTGGAGGATTTTTAATATTTTTCTTGATTTACTTTCGTGAAATTGGTGCAATACTTTTTTTCTCTGGTATCATTATTAGTGTGTGTGTGCGTATGTGTACATGTGTAAAAAAGTAGAACAATTATTTTTCTGTCTTAATTCTTATAAAATCGATATATGCACATATTTTTGTGTAAAAAAAATAAGATGATTACTAAAATGAAAGAATGGATATATCGGTAGAAAACCTTAGGAGTGCTTAGATTGACAACAATTTAGCGAACACTACTGTGTAGACATGTCATAGATTTAGAATTTTTGGCGAAAATTTCTCAATGAGTGTGTGTGTGTGTGTGTGTGGGAGATGAGCGAACGTTTAATTAATTTCGCTCAAAATCTGAAAATTTGTCTAAAGGGTTGGACTGATAGGACCTGATTGTATACGATGTGGATATGTGGTGATTTCAGCAACGTCGAAGCGATATAGAAGCAGAGATTGCCCAGCGTACGGCCGATGAAGCGCTAAGAGATGCAATCGCTCCGGTGACGAATCGTCTTGCTCAACTTGTCAATGATGCTGATCGCTTGTTAGGAGATGCCGAAGGAGTACCAGCACAATATAGACCAAGTGCTGAAGAGCTGAGCAATGAATGCAAGAAAGCTGTTGAACTTCTACGGAACGCTCCTAAGACTCATCCATCCGTGGAAACTCTTGAAACTGCGCTTTCATCCGCTGAGAACATGATTCCAGTTCTAGAGGAACGTGCGAATAATTGGGATGAATTTGTGAAGGTGAGGGATGAAGCCGATGTTGAATTGGACAAATTGAGGCAACCACTTGATGAAGTGTTGGCGAAACCACGTAGAACAATCAACGATGCCAAACTTGACTTTGATGTAATATCTGCCGAACGTCAAAAATCTCATATACTCGATGGTAAAGTTCGTCGACTTCAAGAACTCTCGGAACTGCTTGATCCTTTGGACAGCGCCTACGCTGACGTTCGTTTCATCGACGTTGACGCGGAACAGACAGTGCAACAATACGATGATGTGCTGAATGAGTTGTCGAGTGAAATCGAAGACGAAAGCCTGCTATGCGATTCAGTCGATCATTTTATCACTGAAATGAACCTATTTGATTGAATCGCTTGCTAAGCAACCAACAAAGGAGACTATTGAGAACATAGAACAGTTCCAAATTCCAGCATTACGAGCACAACTTTCGATGCTACAACAGAAACATGATGAAGCCAATCACGGTCGTAAGCATGTTGATCCAGACTCGTCGCGCTTGTCGATTTTGAACGATCGTATGGGTTCGTTGGATGCGTTACTCCGCGATGCGAAAGCATCGACAGAGAAGGACGAACAGGATCGCCTCAACGAACGACTTCGAATCGGAATATTCGAATTACAATCGATACCTCTTCGTGATTTATCTGAAAAGTCGTTGGATGACATCGAGAAAGAAATCCATGTTCTGCCAAGTGAAAACGCAGAACCACTTCAGAAGCAGATCGACGACATGCGTAAGTCGAAGAAACAACATGACGATGACCTACGACAAGCACAAGAACGTTTGGCTATGATCGAAGATGCGATCGCAACGCTTCCATCTACACGTGATATTGAGACACTTGAAGCGAATTTGGGACGTATGCGAGACGCTCGAGATAGTTTAGCGAATGTATCACCAGATCTGTTAGCTGAAGAGAATATTGGGAACAGAGTGGAGGATCTGAGAAAAACCATTGACGATTTATCGAAACGTGATGAAGAAGAGCTACAGAAGATGCTAATTGATCGTGATACTCGCAACAACGCCATCGAGTCATTGGAGCAAATTCAGCGTGAAGTGGAAGAGCTGGAGAAAGCCCTACCAATAAACGTTGCCGTCTTCATCTGATTTAATTGATTTCCAACAAGCTAGAACACCAAAGCTACTCTCCAAACTCGATGCAATATCTGATGTTCCAGTCGATTTGCTACCAAAGAAAGGAAGATCTTTCAAATCGAATCTC